AGAACTTCAAACTGCATGTGTAGTTCAAAAACTTTGAATTGTATCAACATCTCATCAATTGACTGTCCATTATATTTGCTGAGTCTTTTTTGAAATATGTTTAAATTAATATCAATATCCCAAAATACACAAATCAACAATCACACTGCTCTCGTGTCTTAGATGTCTAAAGATTAATAAGTCAAAACAATTTATCTAATTATCATCAAACTCAAAAACAAAAAGATCTCATCAACTTTTTTTGCTTGAAATTGGATGAACACTGTCGTCTCAATGCTATTACAGATCAAATTTGATTCCTATATTTAAAAAAAATAACATCAGTTCAGTTATAAACTGTAGTCTCTATCGTGTTGATAAACCAAAGTTGAAGCGCAATAAGTAAAAAAACCAATTTCGAACTTGACTGAGATGTTATCAATATACATGCATATCAGGTTAAATCAAGATCGATTAATACTTGAAAAAACCTGTATTGCATCTGCATGCTAAATTTTACGCATTCTAACTAAGTCAAGGGCAATAACTCCAAAAAAGTTCATCCGATTGCTATCAAATTCGAATGTGATCTAGATCTCATTACTGTATACATGCATATTAAGTTTCATCAGGAATGGACAAAACAGTAGCCTCTATCGTGTCTACGAGTCACCTTTGATGCCTTTTTACGTGAAGGGCATTAACCGTTTATCCGTTTATTACCAAAATCGAACTTTGCCAAGAACAAAGTTTCATCAAGATCAGATAATAACTGTCTACAATGGACGGACGGACAAGAGCGACGACAATATACGTCCACAATTCCATGAGGCCGTATAAAAAACTAACAAAGTTTTTTCAGATTGATTGACAACGTCAAACTAATGGCGCAAACGTGTTGTCGGTTGTTAGTCTTTCCCTGTGAATTGTAGCAGGCTATGGGTATATCAAATTATTTTGTTCGCCAATCATCAGAGTGTTTTACTAAAGCTACGATGTTTGCTTTACGGTCAATACTATTCTTTTCACCATCTTTATTTCATATTTTATTTCAGATGATTCAACAGTCGACTTTATGGTAAATGGATCAACACAATTTACTGGTAACAGATTTCCAACTCTATATTATCTGGACTATATTGGAAATGGAACGAAAGATGATAATGACGTAATACTCAACAGAGAATGTATTGTG